AACTGTATTCCCTCGTTATCTAGGTGGGTGCCTGATTTCCAAAACTTGAATTGTATTCCCTCCTTATCCAGGTGGGCGCCTGATTTCCAAAACTTGAATTGTATTCCCTCGTTATCCAGGTGGGCGCCTGATTGCCAAAAACTTGAACTGTATTCCCTCGTTATCCAAGTGGGCGCCTGATTACCAACAACTTGATTTGTATTCCCTCGTTATCCAGGTGGGTGCCTGATTGCCAAAAACTTGAAATAATTTCCCTCGTTATCCAGGTGGGCACCTGATTGCTAAAACTTGAACTGTATTCCCTCGTTATCCAGGTGGGCGCCTGATTACCAAAAACTTGAAATAATTTCCCCCATTCTCTAGGTGGGCGCCTGATTTCCAAAACTTGAATTATATTCCCTCGTTATCCAGGTGGGTGTCTGATTGGCAAAAACTTGAAATAATTTCCCTCGTTATCCAGGTGGCGCCTGATTGCCAAAAACTTGAATTGTATTCCCTTGTTCTCCAGGTGGGTGCCTGATATTGCAACAAAACAGACAAAATAAAGAAATTTTCTGCCCCAGTTTGGAATCTGGGCAGATCTGTGAGTGTTAATCGAATCATGTTACCTAAAAGAGCTCTAAGAATTTAAAAGCAAAGTCTCATTATTCAGGAGGGACCTGAAAACTTCAAATTAAATCTCATCTTAAGAGTGACAACTTTAAAGCTAAATTATATTTCCTAAAGGTAGAACTTATACCAAATCTTGTTATTTATGAAGGCCTTTAAATTTAACTTGGTCTCATTCTCCAGGAGGGTCCTGAGAACTTTTAAAATTAAATTTAATTATCCAGGAGGGCCCTGAAAACTTAAAATTAAGTCCCATTATCCCGGAGGTCCTAAAATTTTTAAATTAAATCCCATTATCCAGGAGGGTCTTGAAAAGACGAGAATGAACTTACTTGAGCCATGCTCTCTTCTTGGAGGATTCTGAACAAAATTTCTTGCCCCTGAGCCATGCCTTCTTCATGGGAGGGTCCCTGTGGATCAACAAATTTTCTTTCCAATGTTTTAGATGAATAAAATTTTGTTAGTTTGAAAATGTGGTGGTTAGTTTGTGGCTTTGACCTTTAGAGCAGTTGCTTCTACACTTTCCAAAATAACTTTGATTTCAACTTGGATGACCTTGACTGTTATCAACTGCCCATTTTCTTTCAACCCTTATCATAGAAAACACCTCTGCACCATTCGTTCCCAATATCCTCTATCTGTTGCATTTTGCTCATGGATTGACATTTACCGAACCCTTGCATTTCAACATGAATCCCAAAGCATGTTGATTGTTACCAACTCAATGCGCATGCCACTTTTCCTTGACTCATGCCACTTTGATGCGCTAGTCAAATTTGTTTTGTGCAATTGGAAAGCTGGTAGCAAATTTTGAAGTCATTTTTCACTTGTTCTGACCAAACAAACTCAAGAAGGGACTCAAACAAAATGAGAGGAACAAAATAAGGGAAAAGAGATGATACCTAACAAGAAATTACGAAGTAGAAACTTATCAGATATGGATACCAACTCTAATGAATATGACATGCACCTTTGGATTAAGTGTCCTAATCTCTCAAGCAAGTCTAATATTTAACTCTTGTTGTACCTCTTCGTTGTGAAACTGGGCTTCAGCGCTTCAATTGTCCCATTTGATCCACAATCCTCAGTTGACTTGTAGTGCCCTGAAGGTTTTCACCATCAAGCCTCACTCATTTTGCTCTTTTCTTAACTCACTGTCGCCTTACGGTGCCCCTGAAGGTTTTCACTGATAAGACTCTCTCATTTTATCATTTCTCTCACTGTGTTGAGAACAAAGGTATTACCCATGATGCATGAAGATCATACTTTCACCACACACTTGTTTTGGCATCCTTAAAGATTGGTCAGAAGGTCTTTCTTTGGACCGTAATGTAGGCTTTTGGACAGGATTGGAAGGAAAGGATGGTATGAATGCTCAAAATAATTTAAGATGAAAAGGGTTCAAAATTACAACTTTTAGAATCAGGCCTTTTGGCAAAATTAAAACTTCTGCCCCAGTTTCTTGGAGTTTGGGGAAAGGTTTTTGGATTTTTGCTTTGATGGGATTTCTAAGAACAACTGCCTCACTGTTGACTTCGGGGATCATGAAATATTTTATTTGGTGTGACCGAACCGTAAGGCTGCCTACGTATCTTGTGGTGACAAGAATCAGGTCGAACGTAGTTAAAAAGACAAAGTTGTTTCTTTTTCTTTTTCTTTTTCTTTTCCTTTTCTTTTTTTTATTTTTCCCTTTTTTTCCTTTTTTCTTTTTTTTCTTTTCTCTTTTCCCCCTTTTTTCTTCTTTTTCTCTTTTTCTTTTCCTTTTCCAGTTCCCAACTATACTTCTGATTCCAAAAGAGGGGCATGAGACAAAAATTAGGGCTCAAAATGGGTAACAAAGGATAAAAGTGTTTGGGTAGCAAAATAAAATGCCTTCGTCATACCAAACTTAAAAATGTCAAGTAAAAACGTGCAATTAAAGATAAGCAAACAAATCACACATAGTATCTATTGATGGCATTAACACAAACAAAAAGCGCCAATGGGCAATACCTTTGTCCCAATGAATGACCCTTGCCAGTTCGAAGCAGACTGACTCAACTTTATCTTGATGTGGAAGAATGCATTTCACTACTGTCTGATCTACCTCAAACTGCTTAAGAGACATTCTCTTGTTGTATGCTCTCATCAACCTCTTGATTTTAAAGACCAACTGCCTCAGTTTCGCTCAATTTAAGCTTCAGGTCATCTCAGAATACGTGAATCTCTACTTGTTTCCTCACATGCCTCTTTTATCGTGTTCAAAACAGTGTCATTGCTTCATGATTAAACTAACTTTCAAGACCAGGATGAGAATTGTGTGTGCATATCATGTCACTAGAGTCGACATGAAAAGAACTATAAAAGAAAAGTGACCTAAACAAAAAAAACTGACTAGAACTAACAAAAAATAAGAGATTGCATAAGACAGATTGTGAAAAGGGTTTGAACAAAAAAAGCAAAATAGAGATGGGTTACAACCCTGGAACAATCCTTAATAACATTAGACGAGTTACAACAACTAAACGAACTAGGCAAAAAGAAGAGGAAGAGTTTAAGCCACAAGATAATATAGGGATTACAACCCTGAAATAATCCGGACAACAGAAACGATAACAAAATAAACCACCAAAACTCCTCCCTGGCTAACCAAGAAAGGAGTGCCTTTCCAATTACCAAGCTCGACATCTTAGCCACTGGATTGCACATCAAAATTACTGGGACATTCACCAATTTCAATATCATTAACTTCATTCAGCAAGTTCCAAAGAGGATTCTCATACTCCTTGTCACCACGCATCTTCTCCACAAAGTGTGCATCATCATGTGCAAGTAAAGACTTCTGTGCAATGTTCTGGGTGTCACTGTCCTGGACCACAATTATCCCTTCTTAAATCATTCTTTCTATCTCCCTTTTCAAAGCACAACAATCTTCAATTCTATGCCCTTGGACATTAGAGTAATACATGCACCGTACAGTAGGATCAAAACTTTTTGCATATTCTGGAGTATAGCCGATGAGCGGCTCAATCAAGCTAGACTATTTTAACTTTTCAAACAAGCTTGTGTAGGATTCTCCGATTGGAGTGAAAGACTTTTCTCTTTGCTGCTGCCTTCTCATTTTGTACTCCGGCCTTGGTTGGAACCTCTTTCGGGTAGGGGGTTGATATGCTTGTAGAGGCGGGTAAGACATTTGTGGAGGCGGTGCAAGCCGTTACGAGTTTTGTGAGTGTGGAGCATATGGCGGTGCATTGTGGATAGAGTAGTGGGGAGATGAGGTATGACTTCGAGTATTTTGTGGAGGAAAGTAGCATTGGTGAGGATTATCTAGAGTACGAGGATATTCATGGGGTCAGTATTGAGGCTGAAAGCATTTAGCAGGAATGCCCACTGGATCATGTCGTTGGCGGGCTCAGCAACATATTTTCTATCAATCGGAGAACTGACTCGAGTAACTTGTTCGTTCCATCTGAACCAAAACTCCCTAAAACTTTCCTTGTGCCTCTTTCCTTGGGCATCGAGGAACTTGAACACAGTATCGCTAGAGGATCGAGGAAGAGTAGCTGGTGGAGGAGCTATAAAAATAGGAGCAAATGTCAGAGCAGGGTATGAGGTTGTTTTGGCTGGTGGAGCATGGAAAATTTGGGAGGAAGTGCCACGGTAATTGTGGTAAGGGGTAAAGTCCGGTACATGTTGAGGGGAAAGGTCGACGGTAGTGGGAACCTGGCCTTGTGATAGTGGTAGAATAGTTGCAGGGTTTTCTGTGTAGTTAATGGGGAATGAAGGTGGAGGATGCCCCCTGATCTAGGACTGATACATTTCTGCCATCTGTTGTTTCAATCTTTGGACCTCCTCTTTCAATTCAGATTCAACCTTTGAACAACTCATGTGTTCAAGTCTTTGCTAGCCATGTCTACCTTCTCTTTTGACCTTGTGTTGTACAGATAACTCGCCAAAGTGCCTCAAACTAACCACCCTCTGTTATAATAACAATGAAAGTAACAAAGAGGAGCAAAACAAAGCCAACATGTTAGCGTTAGAGCATTTATCAGATAGAAATATCACATTGCATGCAATGTCCCCTAGTCACAGTTAACGGTTCTAGAATGGCTTCGAGGGTCACAAGGTCATTTGGCATCATCCCAATTTCACTCTTCTTGCCCAATTTCCTTCTTCTTCTTCCTTTCTAACACCGCTTGGTTTTTCATTTCTTTTCCCCTCTTTTCTTTCTAGTTATCGATCTTTTCTTTCCTCTCACTTCTCACGTCCCACGACTTCATTCTCTTTTTTCTTTTTTATTTTCTTTTTTCTTCTTTTTTTTATTCTTCAAACTCTATGTAGGTTGCCTACGTATCATGTTCCTCATGAATCAGATTTTGCGTAGTTCTGGAAAAATAATGGACAAAATAAACTAAAACAAATCTTTTTGAATTTTTCATTTATAATTTTTTTTTCAAATACAAAACAGGAAATATTATAACAAAAGACTCGAAAATCTTAACTAGACTGACAGACTCAATACTACTGTACAAGACTAATAATTAAAAGACAACATAAAATAGACTAAAAATAAAAAGTTTCCTCAAGCAGCTCGTGCATGCAATGGTCTTGACTAGAATGATCCTGGGGTATTTGTCATGCTCAAACTCTAACAAATTGATCCATACCTGAATGAGAAAAATAATATCAAATAGAGTTAGTGACTCAAGACACATGTGACGCCACAACACCTTCTATTGGACACATGCAAGGCATGATTAAGGCTATTTTTGCAAAATGACCTACGTAACCAAAATGTGGCTATTAGTGCAAACGCAACAAAATGACCTCAAAGACATGGACATATCTCCCTAATGCTTATATGGATTCAAACCCTCATAATCATGGCAAAAAAATTTAATTTGCAGAAATGACCTATTTTGCAAAAACGACCGATATGGCCAGAAGTGGCTAAAGATGCAAACTCAAAAAGGATTGACCTTAAAGTAATATGGAACCTAGTTGCAAACTCAAGATCCTAAGACATGGGTAATTGAACCACTTTACGAAAATGACCCCATTTTGCAATAATGACCGATATGACCAAAAGTGGCTAGACATGCAAGATATGGCTAAGACTCCACAAAGCCAAGAACCTAAGACTTACTAGGAAGACCGGACCCTATGTGGGTTACCTACGTATCTCATCCCGAAAGACGAGAATCAAGTTCGCGTAGTTCGGAAAGATTGGATATGGGAGAAAGCTTTAAAAAATGACTAATTTGAAAAAACTATTTTTTTTTGTCTTTTTGAAAAATGATGGAAAATGTAAACTATTTTTGGGTTTACTTTTTCTCCTTTTTTGAATTTTTGGAAAATGATGGAAAATGTAAAATCTTTTTGGATTTGCTTTTTTTTTTTGAATTTTAGGAATATAATGGAAAAGGGTAAAATCTTTTTGGATTTTCTTTTTTTTAAACAATTTTTGGAAAATAATGGAAAAGTTAAAATCTTTTTTTTTGGATTTTTCATTTTCATTTTTTTGTCTTTTTTTTTTGAAAAAGTAGTGAAAGAAAAATATAATTGGGCCCCACTTGCTTCATCTTTCACCCTTCTTTCCCAAGCGTCGGTCCGCCAAATAACCTTTTTACCCTCAAAGATGCAACATGTATCACATAGGGATGATTGAATGCCTTTTTGGGCCACGGGCCCATTTTGACAAAATTTGGATAGGCTTCCTACAAAGGGACATGGCACCTGGGACCGAGCCCTACTAGGTCAAAATGACATGATGCAAATAAGAATGACCTAAAGGTTGACCTAAGTTTGGGGTTTACTAACAAGGTAATTCGGGGCGGCACGTGGTCGATGGCGGCTGCTCTAGCTGTCCACCCACTCCACGCTCCTACGCCACCCCCCTAAAGACACGGGTGACTCACAAAAAGACCGTGTACGCTCAAATGTACTTCGGACGACATGTTGCAGAAAAATGACTCATGGTTATGCAAATGATGACAGTTTATAAAGTAGTAACACACTAAGAAAAGCGATAAACAAATAACCAACAAAACAAGAAAATAAGACAAACAAAGCAAATAAAGAAAACAAACACCTCAACCGAATATCCTAAAAGCCAACAAGATCAAGTACCAGCTTGAACCTGCAAATCCCCAGCAGAGTCGCAAGAGCTGTCACACCCTTTTTTTACAAACTCACCTAACCCTCTTTAAAACAGAAAGATTTAGTAAAGCTTGAAAAGGGTTTTCCAATTAGAATGTGAAAAAAAATTGCATTCAAAAGGAAAATAACTCAGAGTCGCCACCTGACTTTGATATCGGTGTGCCAGGTCACCGTTTTTCTTTTTAAATGATTTTTCCTTTTAAAACGTTTTAGACTCTAAAACCAAGTCCGCACCAGAGATTCGGGTAAAGGGGTTCATTTGACTCGGGGAGAAGGTGTTAGGCACTCCCCAAGTCCCGTGAAAGCCACAGTTGCGTACATGATCAAGTTGGCCTTTAAGATATTCGAATTGAGGTGATAACACGTAAAAAGTAAATAAACAATCAAAAGAGGCTCGAGGTCGCCCCCACCTAAATGAAAGAAAATTAAAAGAAGAAAAATTAAAGTTCTTGATTATCCTACGCTACTTCTTCTATGATGTTCGCCATGACCTCCAATTACATTCACTTCGGGGCATACCCCTGAAATAAAATATCTACAAATCCCTCGGGGCATTCCCCAGATAAATTTAACTAAGGGAACGACCTCTCGCCTCGAAACTAACAAAATCCTAAGACTTGCCTACCCAAGTGTGGTCGGCCTAAAACATGCTCCTAACTATCGAAGCCATAAGACAACATAAGAATAAAAGTGACAAAATAATTAAAGTCCAATTTATTCACTTGTTTAATGTCACCTTCCCTTACGAACCCTTCAAACAACTGATTTCCGTTCTTGTAACATATTAAACCATAGGACGTGCTAGATCAAACGACACCACAAACACATATTAAGCAATTAAGAATAAAGAAATACCAGTGATTTTTCTCGAAAGGAAACCCACGAACTCGGAGTGAAACACCACGATCCATGAATTTATTATTTCCATGTCTTAATTAATAACATGACCCATCCAGAGCATATTTAAGCAGATATTACCAAACATTCAAAAAAAAAAAAGGATATAGTAACTCACGCAATCAACAATCAATGCAATCGATAGATTTACGTAATAACAAGGGATTGTGATATTAAGCAAAATACAGTATAGGAAAATGAGAAACAAACCTCAAATGAATCGGAAAATTATTTATGAGGGAGCTTTGCATTCAAAAATATGACGGACCGTGGACGGAATCTCAATGGCGACCGATCTCGAACAAGAACAGGGAACTCGGACCAACAAAATTCAAACAAGTTCCATAACGAGCCGGAGATGGAAATCAAAATAAGACTATTGAAACCTTTTTATTTTTTCAATTTTCTAGTATAAAAAACGAATCAGTGATCAAAGAACACCATTTCTTTTCTATCCAAAATTTGTCTGAAATTCATCTTCACCCTCTGTTTTTTTTTGTGTTCTTGTATGAGTATGTGTGTTAATGGAAGATGAGGGAACTAGGAGGTCGCTGGTCCGTAGGATTTGCTACTGGCGGCAGTGGCAGTTGTTTTGGCTGAAGAAGATGGTGCGACTGCTGCTGTCCCTTTTTCGGTGAGTTTGGGTGGCGGAAATGGTGGAGTGATGGTCGTTTGAGTGAGGTGAAGAAGCAGGTCGCGGCTGAAGGTGGGGTTATTTGGGTGGTTGTTTGGCTGGTCGACAGAGGATTTTAGAGGGAGTTGGGGTGGCGATTATTACCGGAGATTGTTGCCGGATGTCCGGCGAGCTTGGTGGCGTGGCGGCGTAGCTGGTTTGGTTTCTATGGAGTGACGACTGATGGTTGTTCTCTTGTGTCTTAGGGTTTTGTTGTTGTGTGTATGTTAAGGTGAAGAATAAGGTGTCCTACTAGGTTATAGTTAGGTCTTTCTAGGGTTTTGTCTAGGTTTGGGCTTTTGGGTTAGTGGGCTAAGGGAAAATTCCGAAAATGGGCCTAAAATTGGACCTATCAAGACACAAAACTGGCCCAAAATTCATTCTTCTTTTCCGAGGGTAAAATAAAAGTATTACAGATAATAAAAATATAATTAACAATTGACTTTGATTGAGATGGAATTAAAACGAAATTAATTTTTTTTTTTCAAAGACTATACTAAAAATAGAATAATTAGATTAAAATCATCGTAAAATTAAAATAATATTACTACCAAATCACTAATATTCTTGAAAATGAAGTTAAGCTATTTTATTTGTATTTATGAAAGATAGATAAACTAAAAGTAACAAGATAAAATATCAATTACCTAAATAAAAGAAAATATTTTTGTAATTTTCAATTTTTGTTCTTAAAATAAAGTAAAAGAATTAAAACTAGGTAAAATAGTGGTATTATTAGGCCTAAGCTAAATATCTAAAACCTAAAAAGTGTAAAATCTCGGGGAGGGTCAAAAATTACATGTCTACAGTAGGCGTCCGCAGGCCTTGGCGTCTCCTTCTATCTACTATTCCTGTTTCTTTCATGTATTTCCAGAGACAGTGTTGTATTTATTCTTTCAGACCCTTATTTGTAGTACTCCTAGATAGTCTGTGAAGTTGTGACACCAGTCTTGGGTAGATTTTTTATGGATTGGTATTAGTAGTATTATTAAATCTTTACAATGTAGTCTTCTTCTTATTCAATTCTGTTGTTATCTAATTATTGGTCTTAACCGTTATCGGATTAAAAATGAAAATAAGGTAGATAGTTCAGTTGGTTGTCTTGCCTAGCTTTCACTAGTAGGCGCCATCACGACTCCCGAGGGCGGAAAATTCAGGTTGTGACAAGTTGATATCAGAGCTCTAGGTTATATGGGTCTCACAGTTCACAAACAAGCTTAGTAGAGTCTGAGGGATCGGTACGGAGACATCTGTATTTATCCCCTAGAGGCTACAGAGTTAGGAAAAATTTCACTTCTATTCTTCTCTATCGTGCGATTTGTTTCTCTCAATGCTAAATTGAAACCTCTACTCTTGTCCTTTTGCGAATGGCGAGGTCACGTACCGCTTCTTCAGCCGAGCAGCAACACAAGCCGGTGATAGATTAGCTATGTCTTCGGAGGCTTTGTGGAGGTTGGATAAGTTTCACCAAGCCTTTCACTACCACTTTCAGTGATGCATCTTCTGAGGATCCCCAGAATTATTTAGGCAGCTGTCACGAGGTTCCCAGGAACATGGAGACAGTAGAGACTAATGGGGTCGACTTTGTTACTTTTCGCTCGTCAGGATCCGCCAAGACTTGTTGGAGAGATTATTGTTTGGCTAGACTAGTTAGGTCATTAGTTTTGACTTGGGATCAGTTTTCTCAGCTATTTTGGAGAAGTTTCATCCTGTCCCTTAGAGAGAGATCTACCCGAGGCAGTTTGTGCGTCTCCTGCAGAGTTCTATGACTATTACTCAGTATGAGACCAGGTTTAATGATTTGTTCCATCATGCTCTTCTTATACTTCCCACTGAGAGAGAGAGTGAGGAGGTTCATTGAGGGGCTCGTTCAACCCGCTCAGTCAGCTAGAGGTGGAGTAGAGGTATTAGAGGTGGAGGTAGAGGTGCTAGAGGTGGAGGTAGAGGTATTAGAGGTGGAGCTACAGGTACTGTTCTAGTTTGTAGCAGGGATGCTTCAGTTTTATTTGATCCGGGATCTACGTACTCCATTATAGTTACTACTCTACTTACACTACCAATTAGGGGTGGAGGAAAAGTGGGTAGATGGCGCCTAAGAGGTGGAGACCCAACCCATTGATATATTTGCTATGGTATAGTTGAGGCCGCTACACCAGATAGTGTCGTTACAAGTACAATCTTGAGTTATTATAAAGTAACTATTTCCTTAACTTGATTCGATTATGGGTATCGAGGCAAGTCCTCCTAATATGCTCTACTCATGAGTGAGATTCGTAATCCAAAATTTACTTATATGAATACTCATGTTGGGAAATTATATGGAGAATCATTATGTGTTAGTCACTAAAAATAGTTGTGATATGGGTTTTGATGTGATTTCAGGAAAATTGATTTAAATTGCGAATTTTATTCCCTATCGGTGTGAGGGTTCTTTATATGTTGTGATTTTGTTTAATGAAAATTATTTAGAAGAAGAAATAAAGGAAATGAAAAATTTCAGTTGGCACAATGTGCATATTACTTGTGTACGGAGTTGAGGACGAGATCCTCGTNCTATAGTACTTATATGGAGTCATGCCTATTAGACTTATTTGGAAATTCATGTATGAATACTTTGTGCATAATTTGCCAGATATATATTGTAATTATTGAGTTTTAGACTACGAGGTAAGTGCCCGGGGATGTAAATTGTTACTCGTTAATTCGGGTAAGTAATTATGAGATCTTCATGCCTCGTTTTTTTTGTAAACTGGAGGTTTGAAACGAGATTTTATTAACATGAGATTAATTGGGGATGTTGTAATCTATTATGAACAACTATTAAGACCAGAGATGCGGTTATGGTCATACATATGATGTGTTTCATGTCAAGATATCATTGTGATAATACTATGCTTGTAATGCAGAGATTAGTGTTATTGATATATACATTCTGGTGCCTTGTTGGGTTGTGAATGTATTGTTAGGAGTTGTTTTGGTGTTACTCTGACAGGTGGATAGTCACAATTATAGGGGAGACTCTGCCGAAATTTTTGAAAGTTTTGGGAGTTAAAAATATTTGGGGCGTTGAGATGTGCGAAGAAAGAGATAAGTTACATTGTGTATGTGAGGATGAACGACCCTAAGTGAGGGAAAATATAACATCTCGTGGAAAATTTTGAAGTATTTAAGCGCTATTAAAAGTTGATGTGTGTTGACATGAGACTAATACCGTGTGTTGATGTGAAGAATTGGACCATTTTGAAAACGTTTGGAGAGTAAGAAATTTGGCCTTAAAGTTACAAATATGGATAAAGGAAATAATCTCAATTGATCTGGTGTTGTCGAGCTTGTGTCGAATGCGGTAACATGAGATCAACCAAGAGTATATGTGTAAAAGTAAAATCATCAATTTGGCAACCTCGGAATAATTCTTACTACGTTCGAGGACGAACATTTGTTTTAGAGGTGGAGAATGTGATGACCCAAAATGTCGTCTTTAAATTAAATAATCATCTTGGTATTTTAAGACTTTGAAAAGCGCTATCAATAATTCCTCGACTTGCATGCGCAGTCCGTATAATTTTCCGGAAGGTTTTTGTATGGAAAATGGATTAAATTATGAATTAGAGCTTTAAAACTCAACTGAGTTGACTTCGATCAATATTTTGAGCAAACGAACCAGATCCAAGTTTTGACCATTCCGGTAGTTCCGTATCGTGATTTGGGACTTGCTCATATACCCGAAATTAAATTCGGAGGTCCCTAGATCAAATTATCGCCATTAATAGAATCTACAAATCTAAGGCTAAAGATTTCTTAAGTTTGACCGGAGATTTGACTTTTGAGCAAACAACTCCGGAATGGAATTTTGATGATTCCAATAGTTTCGTATGGTGATTTTGGACATAGGAGCATGTTCGGATTTGAATTTGGAAGTCCGTAGGACAATTCGACGCATTTTGGCGAAAGTTGGAAAATAAAAGATTTTTGGAAAAATTTGTCCGAGAGTTGACTTTTTGATATCTGGGCCGGAATCCGATTCTTAAAATTGGAACAACTCCATTATGTCATTTATGACTTGTGTGAAAAATTTGAAGTCATTCCGGATTGATTTGATATGTTTCGGCACAAACAAATATAAAAGTTGGAAGATTTGAAAACTCATAATTCAATTCGATGCGCGATTTGTAATTTTGGTGTTGTTTGACGTGGTTTGAAGCCTTGATTAAGTTTGTATTGTATTTTGGGACATGTTGGTATAATTGGTTAAGGTCCCAAGGGCCTCGGGTGGATTTCGGAAGGTTAACGGAATGGAAATCGGACAAAAAGGGTTGCTGGAATTTTCTGCTGTAGAAGCTGTCTTTGACAGCAACTGTGCAATCGTGGAGCCTATTTCAGAAGCTTATATCTGAAAATACATAAGGAATCTATAAATTTATAAAACATGAAAGTTGTAGCCCTTGCATTCTAGTTTCCAGAAAGCTAAACCATTAATTAGTTTGATATTTGTACAGAAAGTTATAATCGATTGAATAAGGGTTGGTAAAGATATTTTGAAATTTTCCAGAAATGTCTGATGCGAGGAGGCTACTTTGGAAGCTTATATCTCGAAATCTATATGGAATCTGAAAATGTGCAAAACATAAAAGTTGTAACCCTTGTATTTGGACATTTGTACAGAAAGTTATGATCAATTGAATAAGGGCTGGTAAAGCTACTTCTAGTAGATTTTTAGTGACGAAAATGGTTTTTAGTGACGGATGGGCAGAAACATTTAATCACAAAAATCAGCCACTTTGCCATTTCGTTTTGGAATTTCTGGAGCTCGGTTCTTGGACGATTTCACGTGAAAATATTGGGGTAAGTGTTCCTTATCCTATATTTATTATATTTCATGATTTCATACGCATTTACATCATGAATCCATGAATTTATAGAAGAAAAATCAGATATTTAGCTAAATTTTACAAAAAAAAAATTTAAGATTTGAAAGTCAATCCGATATCGGAATTTAGTAATTTTGGTATGGTTGGACTCGTGGCAGAATGGGTTGTCAGATTTTGTGAGTTTCGTCGGATTCCGAGTCGTAGGCCCCACGGGCAAATTTTTAGTACAATTTCGGGTTTTTAATGGAAAATATAGAATTTCATATGGAATTAATTCCTATAATTTTTATTGACTGAATCTAATTGCTTTTAACTAGATTTGAGAATTCGGGCTCGAATTCGCGAGGCAAAGGCTTGTTGGAATTTTGA